GTTTGTCTCATAACTTTCCTATTTATTTGGTTTTCCTTCATTTGGTTTGCTATCTGAGTTTGTAGGGTCATTTACTTGTACACTGTGATTGTCATATCGTTCATTGCTGTTGTAGTAGTTTGATGGTCTTCTGGAGTAATTGTTTCCTCTTGATCTTCCTCTTCCTCGGTAGTTGTTTTGACCTCTGTTGAAACGGTTGTTGAATTGTCCTCTGCCATAACTGTTGAAATTCTGTTGTGGGTTATTTTTCATTTCCTTCATTTCATTCAGTCTCCATTTTGTTTTGTTTTTCTAGTAAGGTCCTCATCATACTGTGTAGTGTGTTGTTACTATCAACTGTGTTTGCTGTAGTCTTTTTCGTTTCCATGGAGTCACTCTGCTTTTCGTTTAGTTCGTATTGAAAGGCTGTTTCTCTCAATGTGTGGAATGTAGTTGAACTGTTTTAGTCTGAGATTCCTCTTAATTCCCATCTCATTTTAGGACAGCATACACCTTCTATTAGTTGCTCTTTTAACAGCTTGTCTTCATCAACCTTTTCATCTTGATTTTGTTTCACAATATCCATTAACTTCATTAAGGCTTGGGTATATTGAGCTATTGTCTCATTTGGATGCTGCTTTCTAGTATAGGATATAGTCCTGAGTAAGGACATTTGCGGTTACCGTTAGTGATTTGGTTTTCTGAATAAAAAGTCATTTTCTCCTTCCCTACCCCATTGGAGCGCCATCTGGCGTTTGGGAAGTGAATCGGGACTAAATATTTATAGGGTAGGTCCTAATTTATCTGAAAACATGTCAGAGTTCAGTGGGAAATCTCATTTTAAGCTGGCGGCGGAGTGATTTTGACCTTGGTGATTTTTCCAGAATTCTCTGAGAAATCTGACGATAGAGGGGGTTAGTGTCTTCAAGTTTATTTATTTCAAAAATTCGTTGGACAACCCATGGTAAGATTGTTATAGCAGGCTAGGCGAGTCTCTCCCGAACACTGTGGTATGTTGCACTAGGCTTGGATACTAATCGTTAATAAGATACAGGGTAAAATGTTATAATGGCCACCTATGGGAAACTCTACTGTGGTCTTCAACCTATTAGAAGGCGCTTTTTGGGGTATTTTGAAGGTTTTATCCCTTTTTGAGTTTTTTTAGTTCATTGTGAAGCCTTATAGCGCATATCATATTAAAGGGCTGTATCTTAGCTGAACAATGCTACCAAAATCGTGACATTTTGAAGCAATTTTGGTATTTTGGGGGCGAGGCCACTGTGCCAAGTACCCCGAATTCCATTCTCCCGTGCCATTCAATTGTTTTCGGGGCAGTTTTGAATGAACCTTTGTTTTTTACTACCAATATGACGTCATAAGATGCAATCGAACGCCTAGCATGGATATCACTTGAAAGATAGTAGAAATCGCTTTCCAATGATACCCCATACGGCCATGTTCACCTCAGTTGGGTGTACTCAATCTGTGATGCAATCTGTAAGGTGTACCCCTACCCCAAAGAAATTTCAAGAAATCTCAAAATCAAATTTCCTGAATTTTGCTAAAAGGACCTGTGTCTATAAGGATTGAATTTTCCTCCGTGCATTTTCTCAAATATAGGATTGTTATATACCATTGTGATCGGGATAATGCCTAGAATGCTAATATAACCATGTTGGAAGAAAACAAACTAATTCAGTTTACTATTAGGATATAGTCCTGAGTAAGGACATTTGCGGTTACCGTTAGTGATTCGGTTTTCTGAATAAAAAGTCATTTTCTCCTTCCCTACCCCATTGGAGCGCCATCTGGCGTTTGGGAAGTGAATCGGGACTAAATATTTATAGGGTAGGTCCTAATTTATCTGAAAACATGTCAGAGTTCAGTGGGAAATCTCATTTTAAGCTGGCGGCGGAGTGATTTTGACCTTGGTGATTTTTCCAGAATTCTCTGAGAAATCTGACGATAGAGGGGGTTAGTGTCTTCAAGTTTATTTATTTCAAAAATTCGGTGGACAACCCATGGTAAGATTGTTATAGCAGGCTAGGCGAGTCTCTCCCGAACACTGTGGTATGTTGCACTAGGCTTGGATACTAATCGTTAATAAGATACAGGGTAAAATGTTATAATGGCCACCTATGGGAAACTCTACTTTGGTCTTCAACCATAGAATTCTGTCATTGATTTATGAGAAGACTTGTGTATTCCGAAAACTCGTTGTAGTGTTTTAAATATCTCAGTAGGTGTTGGGTTTGTCAGGTATCTCGCTTCTCTTCTAGGATTTGAACCTAGATGATATACAACAAAGTCTACTTTCTCCGAGTTGTTTTTCAAATCTTGTATGGTCATTGTAGCATCCTCAATCCCGTCATAGATATCCTCATCTTTGTTTCCCATGAATTTATTCAATTTCGGTTTCTTCTATATATACCAGTATACTGCGTATTCTTTGAACTAGTTTCTGGTGTACTACTAGCGCTTTGAGTGTCAGCTAAAGTTTTTCTATCTGGTATTTCTTCATCCAAGTACTTCTTTTTGAGGATCGCCAACTCTTTTTCCATATTTATCATTCTGAGAAGTTCTCTTCTTTTTACTCTCTCTTCTTTATCGAGGGTTTCTGCCATTTCATCTATCGCTCGTTCAGCTTCAGATTTATGATCCTTTGTAGTTGTTTTTTTTCTTTGTCGGGTCCTCTTGGCGCAATGTTTCAGCCATTTCATCTATTATACGTTCTGCTTCAGCTTTAATATCGCTTGGTGTTACTCCATCTTGTGCTTCAGCCATTTTGAAATACTAAAGTAAAATAGTCACTTAAAATAGTCGCGTAAAATATTCACTCTGATTCCGCACGCGCCGAAAATATCCGAATGTTTAAAAGACAAAGTGAAAAAAACATTCAAATCTTTAAAAGACAAAGAAGTGGAAAATATTTACAAAGTTCTTCTAGTGAAGGCTAGACATGTAGTAATTAATATAAAGTACCAAGTATTACTGACATATACTGGTTATCAGTTGGTTACCTCATATTAAATGTAAAATAGATGTCTCTATATAGATGACATGTACGCAATACGTTAACTACCCTTGTATCATATGAAAAATATTAAATTCACCTTGTATTCAGCAACTCTGCAGTGATCAATATGTATATTCATTGAATAACCTATCTGAAGTGTTTTGTATATATACTGTGGGTTTATATCCCTACAATTACTAATTGGTGTTGTTGCTCTGCATATAAACAGTCCTTCATGTAATGATAAAGGTGTACACCAACTGTTCACTGTCCCTGTTTTAGTACAGGTAAGTCACATGAACTCAAAATGTTATTTGCTATGCAAGTGTCTCTATAGATGGAGTTCCAGGTAAATGATAATGCTTAATGTTCATAAAGATGGCGCACTAGGTATAGTATCACTCAATGTTCATCAAGAAAGCGCTCAAATATGTGAAAGCTCAATGTTCATAAAGATGGTGCTCTATTATGGTGATAATTCAATGTTCATATAGATGGCGCTTTTTATACTGCCTAATGTTTCCTATAGATGGCGCTCTGTTATCATAACTCTCATACCTTTTCTGGAACTCATCTGGGTAATCAGGCGGCAACTGCTGGAACTGGTCACTCTTGATAACTAATATTGAAGTACTAACTGACTAAACTAAGATATAAATGCTTATCACAGTACCCCCTCATAAAATAGGACCAGGGGGTACAAATAGTGATTTGTACATGTCTTCCGCTACTTAGATTTTTCTAGATTTTTGATACTTTAAACTCATCAATATGCATTTGTTGCACTAGGTTTAATAAGTATTGCATTTTTTTCATTTATTTTTCGTGTTTTTACTGGAGTACTTATATATTTTCAGATTTCATATTGTAACATCATATGGGGAAATGCCAACACATTTTTATTAGACAAGATTTATGCAATTCGAAAAAAAATTGTCAAATTATCTTTAAATTTAAATTTACTTCACCCAAGTTTACCACTATTCAAGCAATTACATATATTAACTATCTTTGATATTCATAAATTAGAAAAAGCAAAATTCATGTTTAATATAGTTAAAGAACCAGCGCATTTTCCTTCCCATTTATTTAAACAGTATTTCAATTTCAGACACACTCGTACCACGAGACAAATCCATCACATTATCTCATGCAAATTTAAATCAAACTTAACAAAAAAATCAGTTCAATACTCTGGAACGATTATATGGAACAAACTACCAACATCCCTTCAATCTCTACCATCATTTTACTCCTTTAAATACAATTACAAAAAAACATTAATAAATTGTTACTGAGCCATGAGCATGTTCTGTTATTCTTCCACAATTGTATTATGTTTGTATTTTTCACCTTTGAATTGTTTATGTGCAGGCATTTTTGTATATTGTCGTATTTTATAACATGAACTGGCATGATATCTTTAATTGTATTTCTTGCTTCATTCAATTCATATAAATTGTAATATATTTTTATATTGTACAACTTTTGATTTTAGCACTGATATGCCCTTTTATGGGTATCAATTGCCAACACGGTTAATGTAATACTAAATGAATATGATAATAAAATAAAATAAATAAAAATAAAAAATGACAATGTGTTCCAGATTTGCATTGGTAAACTTCATACATAGCTTGATTTTTTAAATGTTGTACTCCGAATGCTCGTATGCCATATGTTCCATATAATAAATTCTATGTAATGATAAGTTTTGATATTATTTTGATGGTAAACATAGTGTGTACCCATATTCAGACAGACTTGTGATAGGGGTTCTTACTGCCAATATTTCAAAGAAACTGAAAACTAATGCCAATTTTTGAAATTGCACACCTCAAGAAAAAAGGTTTATCTACAACTTGCAATCGGTTTTGAAAGTAAATGGAAGAATGAGTTTTTTGGAAAAAGTCTAAGTTGACCAATAGCCTGTTAAATGGACCTGTTCTTTTAAAAAGTGAAACAATGCTGTTATTTCTTTACCAGACAGGCTAGTTTAACGAACATGTCGCTAAAAGTGGAATTAAAAGACGAGGCTGGGATGTTGCTAGTGCAGACACCAGGGGAGGATGAGCTGCTCTTCCCATACGTATGGCTGAGGGATAACTGCCAATGTAGCAAATGTTTCTATCCAGTCTCACAGGCCAGAATATTGCTACTAGCTGACCTCAAACTTGATGACAAACCCAAACACGTAGAGGTGAGAAACACAATAATCATGAAAAGGTTTTATTTACCACTTATGATATATTTATTGAGGACTGTTCAATAATTACTATGATATCCATATGTAAACACGTAATGGTAATGCCTTTGAATTGAGTTGCCATTTTCGCCATTTTTTGAAACTCGTGGAAAGGTCCATGTGCAGTATGGCAAGTGATTTTAGACGGTCATATCTTTTACCATGAGTACTTTCTGGGCATAAATACAGTTTTTTTTATTAAAACAATGTTTTCTTTCAAGTGAAGTCCCCATGATGATAAAAACATCAATCGAACAATTCGAAAGATTATAAATAGGGACGCCCACGTCAACAATTTTTTCAAAATGTTGAACTTATATGCTCAAAAGAGGATCTTCTTTTTCTGATTTTTATTGTATGAAAACATTATTCAACAAGGGTTCTAAAACATCTTCAAAAGTAGAATGGTATTGGAAGTCTAGTTTTGAAGATATCAATTTTCGATGACCAAAATCATGCTGAAAACAATGGATAGCATGAGTTTTCCATATGGGAAAATAACATGGGAAATGTGGTTTTTAACTTTATCGCATTTCAATACCCATCCCCTTTTCAGAAGTTATTAATATAGTGTAGAATAAACTTTTGAGACATTTAAATTGAGAAAAAAAGTGACAAATGCAAGGCGGGGTCCTTATCCATAATTTTTCAGAGTGGGATTGATATTTTTTTATCATGGGGACTTCACTTGAAAGAAAACATATTGTTTTAATAAAAACCACTGTATTTATACCCAAAAATACTCATGGTGAAAGATATGGCTGTCTAAAATCACTTGCCATACTGCACATGGACCTTTCCTCTTCAACAGAGGTTGTAAATCCTTGTGCAATATCTTGTTTCTGCAGGCATAGTAGGTTTAATGTAATCCTCACGATATTTTTAGAAATTGAAATGAGATTTCATTTCTCTTTTATTTTCATTTTAGCCTCACTTAAATCTGTTTAATCTTTAATTTCAGCTTGAAAATAATGGTGAGATTGTGTACCTTGTATGGTCTGATGGTCACCGCAGTCCCTATCCAATATCCTGGCTAAAGGAAAGAGCCTTCACGGAGTCAGCAAAGCAGAAACGGAGCAAGGTATATCGCAGAACCAAGAAGCTTTGGGGCTCTGAATTCAAGGACATACTACCCAAATTCGACTTTGAAAAGGTAACTATAATGTAGCTTTAATACATTTCACTGTGCCAAGGCACATGCGATGGTTTGAGCTGTTGTGGACCACTTGAATCAAATGCCCGTGATACACTGTGGCTAGTCGATCTATGTGGATGCAGTCAGGCACATGTAATGTTTCGTGAGTGCCCGCCTCTGTACTTTTCAATGGAAGAATTTTGCACTTCTGTTTAAATAATCTATATTTACTCATCTGTGTATATCATACTTCATTGAATTACAAAACCAAAGCTACGCTATAAACACACATTCTCTGATATTTTAAAGGAGAATAGATAACTTAAACGAGTTCACTCGACCAGTTTTATCATCCTGCTCATAGCTGTGAGAAGGTATTACTCAAGTAAAACACGAAAAAAATGAAAAAATTGCAATACTTATTAAACCTAGTGCAACAAATGCACATTGATGAGTTTAAAGACATATCAAAAATCTAGAAAAATCTAAGTAGTGAAAGACATGTAAAAATCACTATTTGTACCCCCTGGTCCTATTTTATGAGGGGGTACTGTGATAAGCATTTATATCTTCTGTTGGGTGCCTCCAATCACATTCAAATTTTCAGGGATTATGCATCCATATATAGTTAGTTGTCATTAAAAGACTGACCTTGATTGGTCAATTGGTTACCATGGCAACATAATTTAATTGCAAAATATTGTAAATATTAAGGATAAATCTACCGTTTCCCTACAAACAGATCGTAGTTTGTCATTTTTAATTTTTCAAAATGAACACAAAGTTGAGCGTAATACATATTGAAGGAGTTTACAACAAGATAACATGACAAATAGGTTAATAGGATGACATATTTGGCTCATGTTTGATAACTACTGCTCAATTTACCACAAAGTGGGTGTGGAACTTTTTGTTATTACAATTCCAAGGAGGATTGGCTCCCAGAGTGCACCACCGATATTCTGTCCCATATATGGGTATGTCGTAATACAAAATTCGAATTCAAACAGCCGCCATTTTGTTCACTTCAACATTTAAATCGTGAATTTTGGTCTTATTTCCAAACGAAAAATTCCAAAACTCACAAGAAATGATCGAGATATTGGTTCGAATCTTTTGAACTGTTTATTTTGAATTTATAGTCGGTTTTAATTTCAGAAAATAACGACATTTCGACGTTTTCATTGTTGGAAAATATCGAGTTTCGATCCTGGGAGCCAATCCTCCTTGTTACAATTCCAAATAATTTCATGTTGACAGAATCATATTTACAAGGGTCATTAATACATATGTAATTATCTGGAATGGTGAGTCCAAATATCTTTTGTCAATTGGTTGCCATAGTAACACAACATATTGTATGTGAATCGTGGGTAGAGGTCATTTCAGACAATCCTTGTTAATCTTAATTGTTTATTACATTCATCCTTAAGAACTGTTTTAGTGTATGATCTTTTTTAACAAATACAGGTTTGGATAATATTGATATGCGTTTGCTATGGTAACCCAACTAATAATGCTGTTTCTTGAAATACTGCTCTGTTTGTTCGTCTGCCCGCCCATCTGTCTAAGCATTTCCTGACCTATTAATTAATCACAGATTGGTGTTATATGTGACAAAATGGTGATTCTTGACATCTTAGACTCAAGAAGATGTACCAACTTAGACCCTGTACGCTGTATCAATCTTAGATTATGGATATTCTACCCATTGTAGACTTTGGAGGATGTACCCATTAAACACTAGAGTCTACAACCTCTAAGACTCTAGAGGCTGTACCATCTTATATCAGTTTATTAATCGCTTATTGATGTTATATGTGGCAAAATTGTGATTCTTGACATCTTAGACTCTAGAAGATTTATCAACTTAGACTATATAGGCTGTATCAATCCTAGATTATGGATGCTATACCCATTGTAGACTCTGGATGATGTACCCATTAAACACTAGAAGCTCTGGAGGCTATACCCATTGTAGACTCTTGGAGGCTGTACTCATTGTTAACTCTGCATCTGGAAGGTGTACTGTCTTCTCTCGAAGGCTGTTCCAAGAACTCATCAAAGGTTCTGGAGGCTATACCATTTTTGACTCTGGAGACTATACCCATTGAAGACTCTGGAGGCAATATCATCCTAGTCTCTAAGAGGCTGTATCCATTGTAGACTATGAGGGTATACCATCTCAGACTCTTGTAGGTTGTACTATCTTAGACTCTTGGAGGCTGTACGTATACCTATATTTGACTCCTGGCTTTCATAGAAATCATAGACTATTAAGGCTGTACTATCTTTGGCCCTAAAGGCTGAATCCAAATTAAACTCTGAAGCTATGCCATATTGGTCTCTGGAGGTTGAATTCATATTATACTCTGGATGTTGTACCATATTAGACTCTGTAGGCTTTATCAATTTTAAATTATAGAGGCTGGGTCATCTTAGACTTTTGGAATTGAAGGTTGTAGCCATTATAGAAGTAGATGTACCCATTAAACTCCCGAGGCCATATTAGACTCTAATTGTTAATATTAGTCGTAGGCTATACCATTTTCAACTTTGGAGGCTGACCCATTTTAGGCTCTGAAGGCTGTACCATCTTAGAATCTGGAAACTGGTCCTATGTTATATCGATAGGCTGTGTCATCTAAGGGTTGGAGGCTGTACATATTAGACTCTTGGAGGCTGTACTTATCATAGGCTCTGAATGCTATAGCAATCAAATGATCTGAAGGATCTACCATCTTGGACTCTGGAGACTTAACCCATGTTATATCTGGGAGCTGTATCATCTTAGACTCGTGGAAACTGTGCCTATCTTAGCCTCTAAATGCTATAGCAATCATAGCCTCTGAAGCTGTATCATCTTAGACTCTGGAGACTGATTCCATGTTATATCTGGAGGCTGTACCATCTTAGACTCATGGAGGCTGTACCCATCCTAGGCTCTGAATGCTATAGCAATCATAGCCTCTGAAATCTGTACCATCTTATACTCTGGAGACTGATCCCATGTTATATCTGGAGGCTGTACCATCTAAGGGTCTGGAGGCTATACCATCTTAGACTTATGGAGGCTGTACTGATTCTAGGCTCTGACTACTATAGCAATCTTAGATTCTGAATGTTATATCATCTTGGACTCTTGAGGCTGTACCATCTCTATATACTCTAGAGGCTCCTCTGAACTATTCTATAGTATGTTCTACCATATTAGACTATTGGATGACATGTTCTTGGTATTGAAGGACACCATATACGCTGGAGGTTGAATCATATTCTATGTTATGAGATACGTTTTTTTTCAGAACATATGCACCACACTATTTGCGTTTATTATGCTCTGTGTTACTATGGCAACCCCTTGACCAATCATGTACAGACTCACCATATTAAGGAATAACATCCATATCCATGAGCCCTATAAATATAATTGTGACTGATTTTGTAAAAATAACTGAATTATCACTGAAAAGTGCCAAGCCAACTTTTGAGTAGATAGAGAGGTAGTCACCTAATAGAATAGAGTCCAGGGTCAAAGATATCATATAATTTATCACATTTATCATGTTATCTTATTAAACACTCCCCAAATATGTTTTTAGGGTAGTTTAATGTTCATTGTCAAATGATTTGAAGAGAAATGGCAACATCTGTTATTATAAGAAGCTTCAGATTTACCTGAAATATTTAAGATTTTCAGCAATTAAATTGTGTTGCTATGGTAACCAATTGACCAATTAATTGCAAAATTGTCTTGACTACTCACTATATATAGGCGCATGATCCCTGATTAGTGATTAGAATTATGTAACAGAAAGTATTAATGATTATCATATTACCCCCTCATAAAATTATCCCAATGGGTATAAATGGTGATTTTAAGGTTTTCCACTACTTAGATTTTTCTAGATTTTTGATATGTTGTTTTACTTACCAATGGGTATTGATTACACTAGGTTTACTCTGTGTTGCAATTTTTTCATTTATTTGTGAAAATTTACAACGATTTTACTGGAGTATATGTATAATTTGCCATAGGGTTACCTTGTAATGGGGAATAGAAAATGCAAGTAATATAATTATTTCACATACACAAATATGTCTGTGTGAAGTAAAATACAAATACAATGCGTTCTATAATATTTTGGGGGTAATGGTATGAAATATCCACTTTAAAAAAGCAATTTAATCATGATGTATCATGTGGATTAGTAGACGTTCCGATTGGATTCATTGAACAGACTAGCTAGGTTTCAATTGAATCATTTTGAATGTGTGTATTTTTAATATTTTAATCCACAGTGTCCAAAAACAATAATAATGCTATATTGGTAATTGGAAAGATTCCACTTACCACGATTTCAAAAAAAATGTAAATAGATAATATTATTCTTGAATTATGGTCATTTGTTTCAAGGAATCTGGAGGCTCGTTCAGCTGAGCTGACAAAATCATCAAGATTTACGGATGGTCCATCTGTTGGCTGCTCATTGTCACTTTCAAGGAATGTTAATGGCTCTGAAACTTGTAGCCTTGCCCAAGTCGGTATTTATTTACTTATCTGATCTTGAAATATTACCACCTTGTACAATCCAATGCATCATCGCTGATATTATGCTAAGTTATTAAGCGGTTCTGAGATTCCCATAATACCTAGGCTACTGAAGGGTATTTCAAACCATATTGATTGACAATATGGACATGGACACAACGTGTGACTTCAGGCTGATTGACCAATCAAAACGTTATCAGAGGTTGATGTGCATAAAAAAAGCAAACTACCCGTCTAGGACTTGAAATCCAATGATCTGATTGAGTGTTTCTTGAGAGTTACAATATATTATGTTATTAAATGTACATTGGAATGTAAGCAGTCATTAATACTCGTCTAAATGAAATCATGCAATTCAATGTTGATTCAAAATCAAAACTGAATTCGCGATGGAAATGCACGAAGACCAAGTCCGACAATGTAGAGCCGTCTTTGATTTGTCAAATTTTACAGACAAAAACATTGG